AAGCTATTTTAACTGCAGATGGAAAATATCGTATCAGAAAAAAATATTGTGCTTTACATAAAGGACCACATTATGAGTGTATTTTTCACTATTTATTTGTCTAATAAATCAAATCAAATAAAATGTAAATTACTGCATTTATTAAGTACAAATGGTTAAACCAGGGGTTTTCAAAGCCCTCTTTTTAATGAAAATTGCTAATGGCAAACTCGTTTAACTGATAACCGTCTCTTTTGAAACATGTCCGATTCGTAATGAACCAAGATGTGCCGATACTCAGTTCAATGAGTCATATAGTTCACTCGAAACAGCTCAGTCATATTAGAATGAACCAAAAGGTGTAGTGAACCGATTCATACAATTCAATGAAAAGATCCGATCTAATAGAACAATTCATCCACGAATCGGACATCGCTCGTCTGCGCATGTCCAAAGCTCGTCCACCATAGCAGAGTGACTGGCAAGACTAGTTGCCAGAGAGTGTGATCGTGTTGCCAGGAAATTCGCTGAAATTAAATTTGTGGGGAAGTCAACTCATTCTTTATTTATTTGAATCAACCCAACTGCGCATCAAGTTTAGCTCTTTTTTTCAGTTCTAAAGGACTTGTTTCACAGCTTTTGTTGAGAAGTTCGTGTTTATCTCGGCATTGTTTCTGGTCATTTGCCGGTTTATATTAACTTCCATACAGTGTGAAAAGTCGCGCGCTCTGTTTCTGTTTTTATTCCCACGCGCGCGTCGCTCATCACGCGCACTTTGATACATCGTAACAATTTCTCGCTTTTCGCGAAAATGGCCGCAACTACGTTCGAAATGGACGGAAGTGTAATGGAAGGGGTGAGTATTCATTTTCGAGGCTTTTTGTTTAATATCTCCGATTAAAGTTTCAATATGTAATATATTAAAATGGCATCGCAAGAACTAAATGTTATAGTTGTCGTTAATTATTTAAAACATTTTTTCTCGATGTTTCTTTTTAAAGGGGGGACAGATTTTGAGGGTGTCTGCGGCGCTGAGCTGCATCCAAGGGGCGTCAATCAAAATAAATAAAATCCGAGCGGGTAGAAGCACCCCGGGTTTGAGGTACGGAAATTTTTGTTTTAGACACATTATATATTTATTTCTATGAGGTTTTATGTACATTAAAATAGTTGTTTTTTATGTGTGTAACATGCCCTGTATGCTCCCCCCCTTTCCTTTCCACAGTGAATCATGAAACAAAGCAAAGTTGGTTGTTGAAGTCCTGTTACTTAATTTACACTTAACTATTTAAGTCAGCCATATAGATATGTGACTGTTTATGAAGTAAAGTTGTGTTATACCGTTGTTTATCCCACAAAAATGCTATTAAATTCTTTTAACATGATTTTTTAATGGGGCCCTTTGTTAGTTGGCACAGAAGCACATGGCTACTTTCCATGTAACTCTTCATGTTTTTACTTTAAAAGGTTTAGATTCTTATCAGAGCTCTGTAATAACCCATCTTTTTCTTTGTTGTGTAAATTATTTGGCTGTTTGTAAATATAAATATAAAGATTCAGCTCACATAAAAACGTATTAAACCTCAAAACGTGAGGTCTAATTCTCTATCGATAAATGGAGCATTTCTGATTCTTTTGGTCAAAATGAGTGGATTTTATAAAGCACACACTTAGTTTTCTCTTCAATTGTTTTCCCTACTTCCCCCCTCCTCCTCCTCCCTATTCAACGTCATCAGGCCTCAGCATCTGTCAGGTCTCGAACTGGTGAGAGACATGTGCAACGGCAATCTGGAGGGAGCCACAGTGGGATCCTCTGAAATTACACTCACTCCTGGGAAAATTAAGGGTGGGAATCACATCGCCGACACTCAGACGGCCGGGTAAGGAACGTTTTTAGTCTTTAACGGCAGAAATTACACAAATTTACGACACTATGATGAAGAATTTTTGGCCCTAAAGGCCATTAACGAAAAATATATAGTTTTATACATTTATTCTAAATGTAAAAAACTAGCAAGAGTCTATTTCACAACTATAACTATAATGGAGGAACTATATCACTTTTGTAATCACTTTCACAACAATTTTTTTTCAGCTGATACGACAAAAACATTGACATCCAATCGAAATCCAGCTTTACAGAGCTCAATCTTTTAAAGCAACAGACAACAAAAACTTAGCATGTGCTTATAATAGACATGTGGATGCTATTATAGTTATCATTCTTGGTGTGAATAATTTTTAATCTACTTTTGCTGTCTGTCGTGACTCGTGTAGAAGCGTGGGACTGCTGCTGCAGGTATCGCTGCCGTGCGCCCTGTTTGCTCATGGTCCGTCTGAGCTGTGCCTGAAGGGAGGAACCAATGCTGAGATGGCACCTCAGATCGACTACACAATGAAGGTACGTGTAGACGTATGTTTGCGCAATGGGCAGGACCAGCATCTAGTTCTGTTCACGTCATGGCAATGATGTTCTAATCTCTCCTAGGTCTTCAAACCAATCATGGAGAGATTCGGAGTTCAGTTTGACTGCGATTTAAGAATGAGGTATTTAAGCGACTTGGGTTCAGTTTGATCTGATTGTAATCGTGTTAAGTTGAAATGTATTCAAACTATTTTTTTCATTGAAAACAGAGGTTACTATCCTAAAGGGGGTGGTGAGGTGGTGATCAAGGTGAACCCTGTGAAGGAACTGAGTCCCATCAACTTGACCGAAAGAGGAAACATCACCAAGATCTATGGAAGGGCCTTTGTTGCTGGAGTACTGCCCTTCAAGGTATAAGACTGTGAACCGTTTTTTTAATTTTTGTTCGCTAAACCACTCAATTTATTACTTTATTTTCTTACACTAATTGACAAATTTTTTAAAAAAAAGACATATTAACTACATAATTTTTACTTCGATTTAGATTTTTTCGCCACGTTATTTGCTAACGCTGCGACAAAAGCTCCTAAACCATTTCATTTTTTACCTCGCTGCAAATTTACATTTCTTTTTTTCGTAAGTGTTGCTTTTTCCGCCTGATTTGCAAGGCACAACGTTTGCTTGATGTTTTTTTACTTTCGTAACTGGCCTTTAATGCTCGACATGCTTTTTTTGTTTTATGTACTTATTGCTCAAATAAATTAACTTGCTAATCTGGGATTAAGTCCTTGAAAAAAGTATATACACCACAACATGCTTTGTTTTATGCCTTTTAATCAGCATTGTTTGGACAAAGTGACATTGGTGTTTGTCAAACAATCCATTTATTTTCCAACTGCTTTTAAGTAACTTTGGTTGATTGTTCTCGATGTTCAGTTGGCGAAGGACATGTCCACGGCAGCGGTTCGCACTATCAGGAAAGAAATTAAGGATCTTTACATCAACATTCAGTCTCTGCAAGAGAAGGACAAGGCCTGTGGGAACGGCAACGGGATCATGTGAGTACATCCGATGTCAAACTGTCTGCTGAAATTGTTTGGGGGTTTCGTTTTGACTAACGTCTGTGTCTCCTGGCAGAATAATTGCAGAATCATCCACCGGCTGCATATTTGCAGGATCAGCTCTTGGCAAAAAAGGTAAGGGTTTCTGGCTGCCCAGTCTTGAAGAATTAGTTCAGTATTGTAGTTTTGGCACTAGAGGGCGATATGCCACAAAGAAAAGCTTCTTCATTTCTGCTTTCAGTTACAAGAAGACAACAAGTTCCCTATCATTAACTGGATGATTCATTCTTTAACTTGAATTTTATTGTTTTGTTCATATTCCCTCTATTTGTCCCCAGGCGTATATGCGGACAAAGTTGGCATTGAGGCTGCTGAAATGTTGCTAAGGAACATCAGACATAATGGTTGCGTGGATGAGTTCTTGCAAGACCAGGTCAGACACACGAACGCTCGACTGTTTCAGAGCGACATAACAAATACGCGCTCGTCTGGAGACTAATTATATGCATCTTTTTACAGCTTATTATTTTCATGGCCTTGGCGAACGGCACATCCAGAATGCGAACGGGTCCAGTCACCCTCCACACGCAAACAGCAATCCACATCGCTGAGTTGCTCACGAACGTAAGTTCAGACATGAACACACCTCATAAGTGGCTTAATCATAAGGACCCCAGTTATAGGAACTAGCCAAAGAAGAGCAAAATTTTACCCTAGGACTATTTTCCTGGTTGCATTCAGTACAAAATCTGACAGTCGGACAGGCACGTCATTTAAATTTTCTTTTAAAAAAACTTTTGCTGATAATTTACTCACCCCCATGTCATTTTGTCTTCAGTCGAAAAGAAATTAGGTTTTTGATGAAAACGTTCCAGATAATGGACTTCAATGGGAACCAAACGGTTCAAGGTCCAAAAGACACTTTCAGTGCAAACTGTTCAAAGGGCTTTAAATGATTCCATACAATAAATAAGGGTCTTATTAAGCGAAACGATCAGTCATTAAAAAAAAAAGTTTAAGTTTTATAAGCACAAATGCTCGCCTTGCTCTGTTCTGTGATGCACGTTCGTGACTTTCCTGTTTGAACTTGTTCATCAAAATGAAAAACTCTTTTTTCGAGTCATTTGGTTCATTCAACAAACAAAATGAACGAATTGACTCGGAAAAAGATTTGTTCATTTTGATGAACGAGTTCGAACAGGAGAGTCACACAGAACAGAGCAAGTCGAACATTTAAGCTTGTAAAACTTAAACTTTGTTATTTATTTTTTAAATGAGCAATCGTTTCGCTTGATAAGACCCTTATTCATCGCCTGGAATCGTTTAAAGCCCTTTGAAGCTGCACTGAAACTGTCTTTTAGACCTTGAACCGTTTGGTTACCAGTAAAGTCCATTTATATGGAGAAAATCCTGGAATGTTTTCATCAAAAACCTTAATTTCTTTTCTAGAAAGAAAGACGTGGACATATTGGATGACATGGGGGTGAGTAAATTATCAGCAAAAGTTTTTTTTTAAAGTGAACTACTCCTTTAAGTGCGAGATTCAGCAGCCGGAGGACGGCATTGTCACCATCAATCGCTGTTTTCCATGTTCATGGATGTTTACATGGCTTTTTTAAAAATGGCAAATGCCAGTGTTTCATATGGCACGCGTTTGGCCAATCAACATACACTTGCGTCACTGGTACTTACTCTGAACTAGGAGCTAATTGTTTCCACCCCAAAAGGCGTTCCTAGTTCCTGTGGTGCAAATAAGCCTAAAAATAGGTACTTTTGCCTATAGTTATAGGAACTTATAGTGTGAAAACCCCTATAGGCACTTTTATTTTAGGCCCAGGTCTAAACGTTTTGAGCTTGTCCACTTCCGACCACTTTTGAGGTAATTGAAAACGCATTCAAACCAATTGCGTTTGTAGTGTAAACGCTCATGTGGTCAAATGCGCTCGAACAACCACAAAAGACCACCTACTCTCCACTGACTGATCTAATGCGTAAACATTATGGAAGCGCACTAGCTAGACAGGATTTAAACTTTGTCGACTGAAGAGCCAAGTTTGGTTCGAAGACTAAAAACGTACCAAGCACGAAGTTCTCTCGCCATTCCTGATTTCTAACAGTCACTCAGAGCAGAAACCAAAGCTGCTGCTCTCTGTGTGTTTTTCTGTTGTCTCCGGGCGCGTTCATATGTAAATTCCACAAGCTTATTTCGTCCATTAGATTGAAATGGACCCTGGCCTCGAAGAAATCAGTGGTTGAAAGTAAACACCAGGTGTAAACGGGAATGCATCTCCCTCATCTGCTTTGACTAAAGCGCATCTTAAAGGGATACTCCACTTTTTTTGGAAATAGCCTCATTTAACAACTCAGTCGAGTTTTACCATTTTGAATCCATTTAGCCGATTTTCTGATATTTAGAAGAATGTCAGTAACCACATAGTTTCTGGTCTCATTGACTTCCATAGTATATATATTTTTCCTACTATGGTAGTCAATGAGACCAGAAACTGTCTGGTTACTGACATTCTTCTAAATATCAGAAAATCGGCTAAATGGATTAAAAAAACGGTAAAACTCAACTGTTTAACTTTGGGGGAGTAGTAAAATGAGCCTATTTCCAAAAAAAAGTGAGTATCCCTTTAATATCAGGCGTAAACAGGGCCTGAAAAACTAGGGGACTACAATCTACCACAAATTTCTTTCTTTTACAGGCGAAATTTGTCATACGCAAAGCAGAGGATGAGCCAGGCAACACCGACACCTACATCATCGAGTGCCAGGGAGTGGGCACAACCAATCCTGGCTTGTAAACGCACAGATCCGTCTCCTTGGCTTGTCCCCAGCCGAGATAAGGAGGACTTGTAGCAGAGACACACTACTACTGTAACCGATTGGACGACGTGAAGATCACTTCATTATCTTCACGTTGTTTTCGATTACAGATTAGCTTTTTTTGCGCTGACCACCAGGTCAGTACATATTTGTCCCTTACGACTGTTGTGTCCCCCACCCCCCCTCTGAAACTTTTGTTGTTACTCAGGGTATTGCCTTACACTGTAATGAAATGTCAACTTCGGATAGTTTTTGAACTCGCAATATTCGCCCAATCCTGACAAATTTGCTTTCCGTACTCTTAACACAAGCCTTAAAGTTTCATTAAACCCTTTCGATACCGCGGTCCGTCGTTAACGATAACTATAGCCTAACCAATTCGCATGGACGTAGTAAAATACATGTATGTCACTGGTAAATTTAGTGCACTGTGTGTACGTGGAGGAAGTTTTCCATCCGAGTTTTTGGTTCCATGTAGCTGCTTTTGTTTTTTTGTATTTTGTTATTTAAGTCTTTGTGTTGGGAAGGAACACATTTCCGAAATTCCATTGCCATCTTATTCTATTTCCATTGAAGTTCTTTCATTTGAATTCTGAAAATGTTTCATTCTTGGTTTGTTATTTATAAGATGGAGTTTCAGATTTTTTTTATGCATTGGTTTTTTGGGCTACTTTAGGTGTTCTTTTGTTATTTGCATTAAATAACTTTGTTTTGTTTTTTTGAGGAGAAAAATACAATAAAATGATTGATAGACATACAATATTGTATTTTGATTGTGTGGTTCTTTAAAAAAATCGATCGTTTACCAGTATTTAATCTTATCAAGCGTGTTTGCTCTTTTAAAAGTGCACTGTTCTAATGTAATTCAGCCATTGGCTACCTTTCACAGATTCATTTGTCTGTCTTAAGGAACACTTAAAGCTGTTTTATATGGCTCACTCTCATATAAACCACTTGTCTAAAGTGAAAGTACTTGACGGCTTATAGTGGAAATCTTCTCATTTAGCTCACCCTAGAGACAGCCTACAAGTGTTTGCTGTTACCAGTCCAACTGGAGTCTCTTCCCTCGAACCTTTTGTGCTCCAGGCTGGAACAATTACTGCCGGCAGATGCCAGGACAATACAGAGAGCAGAAGAGAATAGGGGAAGCCATGTGATGATGCGTGAATATGCATAGAGCCCTTGGGTCTGGAAAGGGCACATCTACATTGTTAAAACGAGAAGCCTCCCTGCGGGGGGCGGTGGGTGTGGCTTCTGAACCGCATTCAATGGGCCGTCAGTCTGATCATTGGCTGTCTGGGGCATCTGTTGCTGTGGGGAGTAATTAAACATTGGCGAAGCGGAAAAGAAAATCTTCGCATATGGTCACGTAAAAAAAAATTTTTTAAACTATTTTTAGATATAATTTTGCGAGTGAGATTAAGTTTAATGTTTGGATGTTTTAATTAATAAAAAATTAGGTCAAATGAAAAGTAAAATTACTAATATAAATACATGACGCTACTGACAAAAATCTTTGCATATTTTCTGGGCGATCAAACAAACTTTTCACCACTAGGGGTCACTTACCTCTTACAATTAACAAAGGCGTAGGTTGATGACACAAAATCCCAGTTAAATTATGGAACTTGTCGTCTAATAATGCTTGTGAATGAGTGAATAACTTGACATTGATGTTTTTATTATGACTGGAGTGAAGCATTGCTCGATTGCTAGTGAGAGACCGATACCAGCGCCACACGCGAGTCTCGCGGATATAACATGGATTTAGTTGGTGCTTTTCTGTTTGAGGTCTGTGAAAGGTTTAAAGCAGTCTTTTAGCGCCGCTTCAGAGCGCTCGTGTCCGTAACGGTGTTTTTTTTCCTCATAAATGCGAACACTAACCAGGAACAAGTTTTTCAAAAGATTCATACACTCATAGATTTAGCTATTTATATGTAATACAAATGATTTATGATGATTGCAACCTTGTAGGGTATTTGATTGCTTTTCAATATGTTTTCCAGGCAAATAGGTGTTTTATTCTCATTCTGACAAAAGACATTTGTACATTGCATTGCAATAAACACACGATCACTTTGAACTTTTTTAATCATTTATTTATTGGAAAAAACTGTTTTAAGCTTCAATACCATACCTGAAGCTTATCCAATGTTGCTTATTCATGACATCCTGGAATCCATGGATGACGCCACCTGGTTCAGCACATTGGATTTGCAGTCAGGATACTGGCAGGTGGATATGGAGGAAGAGAGTAAAGAGAATAAATGAATAAATAAATAAATTAATAAATAAATTTTATTTCATAAACTAGTTAAACCAGTTGTGGACACAGATGTTGTCCAATTCAAGCCGTGTCTCTGGGTTGATTCGCAGGAGACCGCATAGTAATTCGCAGCATTCTGTGAAGAAAGAGAATAGAAGTCGTATTAATACCTTAAACTTCACACTCGCTCTCTTTGATTAAGAGTCTTAAGCTGAAAGATCTAAATATGACTACATTACACACACTACCATTTGTATTACTTTGTTCTATTTTGTATGATTTATAATTGCAAGTGTCCTTTGCTGAAATCAAGATCTCACCTTGTGACAAGCCATCTTTCACCCAGTTATTATCATTGAGATTGTCCAAATCTTCTTGCTCTGGAAATCGTCCTTGCAGCAGTGTAAACATCAGTATCCCGAGCGACCAAACTGTTGCTGGTTTCCCGTGATACTCGCCGTTGGTAATGTACTCAGGGGGACAGTACTCTTTTGTGCCTGGAAAAAAAAAGGAAGAGATTTAGTCTAGTTTGTATTAAAAAACATTTTGACTATGCAAGAAATTATTTGATGCTATTGACTCCCAATGGTGGATCCCATTACATTATGCTTCGTAAGACCTTGACTTATTCAAGTCGAACGCCTTCTGATCCGTCATCTAAATTTGAAACCCACATTACAGCTCTGAGGAACAATACATACCGGCAAAGGATGTGTATCCCTCATCAGACAGGATTTCTCCGCAGCCGAAGTCAATCAACTTGACATCCAGGGAGTCCGGGTTGATGAGCAGGTTTTCTAGCTTTACGTCACGGTGCAACACTCCCCGTCGGCAGCACATCTGAGCGGCGAGAGTTGCCTGACACATTATAACCTTTGCTATGCTCTCTTCGATGATCCCGTTGTGTCGGCATAGAAATTTGATCAAGTCCTCACAAGGTGTTGGATACTCCAGAACCATGATGTATCTTTCTGGCTCTACGACCCAGTCCAGAAGCTGGATGATCTCGGGAATCCTGATGCCTTTCTTGGCAAGAATCAGCAGAGCGATCTCCTTCGGAACAGGTTCAGGACAATCCTCCTAAAAGAAAGACAATTGTTAATGATATTACATGGAGAAAAGATGTAGAACACAACTAAACTACTGGCAATTGCAGTTTGTCTATTGAAAAATGGACTGAGAGAAACTTACAATGTAGATCCAATCTGTACCCATGATGTCAGCGAATTTCAGCGCCACCTAATCAACAAAAAATGGAGTTGTGTTAGAATTATTTACAACATTTGTGCAGTTCATATTTCAGTCATTAACCTTGAACAGACATGCTCAGTTTCATGGATTTAAATTCTAATCATGTAGAGCATGTCTAACAATTTAAACATGTCTGAGAGGTCAGGTGCTCTAGTAGTGAACATAAGATACACTGAAAATGCTTGAAAAGAAGAGTCATTCAAGTATAAGAGTGCAAGAACACTTTGATAGATAATGCAAGTAAAAGAAGTGATACCTCAAGGCCATCTGTCAAGCGAATCCCTGCATAAACGCTTCCAAAGCCACCTTGACCGAGCATCCTGACGATTTCATAGCTGTGTAAACCGACGTCTGTTAAAAGAAAAATAAGAAGAGTTGACATGAAAACTGATTTGTGCCTGAGTACAGGCAGATATTGTATAAACCGTATGTTTGTCTTGTGTTATGTCGAAGTCATGACAGTAAACTTACCAATAACCGTCTTATCCTCAGGTGGATTATTTGAACACGTAAACCAGTCGTGGACACAGATGTTGTCCAATTCAAGCCGCGTCTCTGGGTTGATTTGCAGGAGACAGCATAGTAATTCGGAGCATTCTGTGAAGAAAGAGAAGAGAAGTCGTATTAATACCTTAAATTTCACACTCGCTCTCTTTGATTAAGAGTCTACGCTGAAAGATCTAAATATGACTACATTACCCACACTACCATTTGTATTATTTTGTTCTATTTTGTATGATTTAAAATTGCAAGTGTCCTTTGCTGAAATCAAGATCTCACCTTGTGACAAGCCATCTTTGACCCAGTTATTATCATTGAGATCATCCAAATCATCTTGCTCTGGAAATCGTCCTTGCAGCAGTCTAAACATCAGCAACCCGAGCGACCAAACTGTTGCTGGTTTCCCGTGATACTCGCCGTTGGTAATGTACTCAGGGGGGCAGTGCTCTATTGTGCCTGGAAAAAGAGAATTAGTTCAATTTGTAAGTTTGTATCAAAAAACATTTTGACTATGCAAGAAATTATTTGATGCTATTGACTCCCAATGGTGGATCCCATTACATGATGCTTCGTAAGACCTTGACTTATTCAAGTCGAACGGCTTCTGACCCGTCATCTAAATTTGAAACCCACATTACAGCTCCGAGGAACAATACATACCGGCAAAGATTGTGTATCCCTCATCAGACAGGATTTCGCCGCAGCCGAAGTCAATCAACTTGACATCCAGGGAGTTCGGGTTGATGAGCAGGTTTTCCGGCTTTATGCCACGGTGCAACACTCCCCGTCGGCAGCATATCTGAGCGGCGAGAGTTGCCTGACACATTATAACCTTTGCCATGTTCTCTTCGATGATCCCGTTGTGGCGGCATAGAAATTTGTCCAAGTCCTCACAGGGTGTTGGATACTCCAGAACCATGACGTATCGTTCTGGCTCTACGACCCAGTCCAGAAGCTGGATGATCTCTGGAACCTTGATGCCTTTCTTGGCACGAATTAGCAGAGCGATCTCCTTCGGAACAAGTTCAGTACAATCCTCCTAAAAAAAAAGACAATTATTATGATATTGCATGGAGAAAAGATGTAGAACACAACTAAACTACTGACAATTGCAGTTTGTCTATTGAAAAATTGACTGAGAGAAACTTACAACGCGCATCCAATGTACACCCACGTTGCCAGCGATTTTCAGCGCCACCTAATCAACAAGACAAAAAATGGAGTTAGAATTATTTACAATATTTGTGCAGTTCATTTTCAGTCGTCAACCTTGAACAGACATGCTCAGTTTCATGAATTTAAATTCTAATCATGTAGAGCATGTAACAATTTAAACATGTCTGAGAGGTCAGGTGCTCTAGTAGTGAACATAAGATACACTGAAAATGCTTGAAAAGTGCAAGAACACTTTGATATATAATGCATGTAAAATAAATGATACCTCAAGGCCATCTGTCAAGCGAATCCCTGCATAAACGCTTCCTCCACCGAGATTCCTGACGATTTTATAGCTGTGGGAACCGACGTCTGTTGAAAGAAAAATAAGAAGAGTTGACATGAAAACATGAGTAAAGACAGAAATAATATCACAACAAAAGTTTGTCTGTATTGTGTTATGTTAGAGTCATGACAGTCAACTTACTAATAATCTCATTTTCCTCCAATTGCTTCAACTGAGATGTCCGTTCGACAAAACAGTCTGATATTGACCAGGCTGAAACTGGAGGGAGATCGTCACTAGAGTCTGATGTTGCCCAGGAACAAGCTGGAATTGGAGGGAGATCACATTCACAGTCCTCTATTGCCCAGGGCGAGGCTGGAACTGAACGGAGATCATCACTAGAGCTTGAGCTGACGCAGAATGTAACTGGAGGGAGATCATCACTCGAGTCTGATATTGCACAGACTGGAACTGGAGGGACATCAAAACAGCAGTCACCCGTCTCCAAGCCTGGAGCTGATGTGGTGCTCACTGGGACCTGAGGGACATCCACGCTGCAGTCTGCCACATCTTGGTCTGGAACGGGAGGGACATCAAAACAGCAGTCACCCGTCTCCAAGCCTGGAGCTGATGTGGTGCTCACTGGGACTTGGGGGACATCCACGCTGTAGTCTGCCACATCTTGGTCTGGACCGGGAGGGACATCAAAACAGCAGTCACCCGTCTCCAAGCCTGGAGCTGATGTGGTGCTCACTGGGACTTGGGGGACATCCACGCTGCAGTCTGCCACATCTCGGGCTGGTACTCGAGGGACATTTGCTCTATAGTAGGCCACATCTTGAACTGGAACGCTATCGTCAGATGTGGCACATACTGTGGCTTGGAGGACGCCAACACTATAGACACAGCTCAAAGAGTTGATGACGTCGGCACCCCATTCCGACGAATCACCGACTAAGGCCTGGAAGGCGGCGTCACTCCACTCATCATCGACTTGTACATGACCAGGGTCCTCAGCAACGATGAGGACTTCAACAGCACTGGTACAGGTGACTTGCTGAGAAGTCTGATCTAAAGAGAGAAAAGAGAAAATGGTTTTAATGAACTAGTTTTTAAAAAAGATTGCATAACCAAATTCATTACTAGACAGACACTAATATTGCTGCAACTATGCCTGTTGTTAATTATGATGGCATTCAACACAGGTCTAATCCGTGCATTCCGCTTTCTCGGTTGTCGGGTCAGTGAGCACAGGCAGTAATGTTTTGTTTTCTGTTTAAGTGTCAAATTAAAAATTGTTCAAATTTCAAAACATAATCCAAGACCCCTGCATTAAGTTTCATTTAGTTGTGCGTGTGTGTGAATTTTAATTGGGCCATCCAAATGTTGCTTGGTAACCCTTTAGGTAACCATACATGCAAATGTAGAATTCATTAATTTGCCAACTGATTAGCACAGCGTCTTCATTTTCAGATAATTCTTGAGCAATTTCACCTTCAATAAAATTTGAGGTAAAACAGAGGCAGTGTTGGGTAGGTGACTCTAAAAAAGTAATTAATTACTATTTACTAATTACCTCTTCAACAGTGTAATTAGATTACTGTACTAATTACTCTTTAAAAAGTATTTAATTACTTTTAATTACTATTTACTTTCAAAATCCCATACCAATCTCAACTGAATACAAGGATAGACATGAATCTGTTTTAATTCTTTCAAATAAATACTATAAAATTGCATGAATTAGCCTATTAAACTGACCAAGGTGGAGAAGGTTACATTATAAAAACATACTTTTTAACATCAGACAATATATGAAGAGTTCAGATGCAAAAGCCTCTGAGTGCCATTTGAAATTTTCTTCTAGAACGATCATTTTTAACCAACTCGTGTATTTAAGTTCAGTAATTTCACTTAAATGGCATTGAAGATTACCTATGAATTGTCATTTAAGTGAAATTACTGAACTTAAATATACGAGTTGGTTAAAAATGATCATTCTAGAAGAAAATTTAATATGGCACTTAGAGGCTTTTGCATCTGAACTCTTCATATTTTGATGTGTTAAACCCACTATTGTTTTATGTCTGATCTCATGACATTTCACACTTTTTTCATACACATTTTACAATAATTCATACGAAGTGCGGTCGTACAATTTAGACACCTCATAAAATGCATGCTGTGAGATTGGATTGATCTATACACAGTATTTACCTCAATTACATCAGAAGTAACTGTAATTAACTTACATTTTCAATGGAAAAGTAATTAAATTACAGTAACTAGTAATTAGTTACACCCAAAACTGTACAGAGGTAATACATTCAAATGTCTGTTTAAAGGCATTCACACATTATGTTACTGAATTCTCAAGTAAAAGTTTTTCAATTAATGGTTAAGCATTATTATTGTAAATTAGACTTTAAAAACAAAACTTTAGATATACATATACCAAATTATAACATTGACATGGTCCTCTTAGATACCTTGATATGAGCTGGTCTTGATGGTTTTTTCCTTCTTCTTGCGTTTCTGTTTTTTCTGTAAATTTTCTCCATTGTAAGAAACATCTACACATTTAACGCATGAAAAGTTTACACCCATTTTCAAATGCTAAATAACTACAATGCAATGAATGCCAGTAGAAAGTAGTCAGCAAAGAAATGAAGAGAAAGTGTGAAAATGTGCTTCAGTTGACAGTTGACCAGTAGGCTAGTGCTACTGTGACATCACTTTTAGAACACATTCCAATCTAGATTGACGTCAATTGACGTCAATTCCCTAGGCAGGCTCACCGTCACTGGCCTCAGCGTCACGTGGCCATCATCCTCTGTGGGCGGGGCTTCTGCGGAACTGAAAATTTGTTGTGGATTATGTTTGATAAACTCTTTTTAATAACGTCTAGCCAAAGAGACGGAAACACGATATTGTATAACAGCTGCACGATTAATAATTAAAACATCGCGATATCGATTCAAACAAACACACAATCTTACTTTAACTACTAAGCTGTGTCTATATTAAACATTTGTCATACAGGGATGTAATGGAGTCTAAACGCACGTAAACGCTGCATTACTGTCAGTGTTGTTACGGTTGCCTGGTTGCAGTGTTGACGCTCGCGCAGCAGAAATCTACATAAATGAGCGCAGCGCACACACACATATACTCCGTTAACAACATAGGCCTACTGCCTATAAAAATCTAAATGTGGAGTTTTTATATTTTTAACATATGTTAAGCAACCTCAATTATTTTTCCTGAACACCATCACGATTGAAAATGTGGCAATGATTTCCTACAACAGTTCAATAAACAGTTAAAATTAAATCACTTACATTTTAGATGCAATATTGGCTTTCTGTTTCAGCAGCGAAAAAATAGTTCCAAACAAAAATCACAGCAGATCCACGGCGCAAGTCAGAGGAACACTCAATCTGTTTTCATTACTGAATTCACCATTTTGAACGAATCGAGTCAAAGATTCAATCCATTCATAAACATCTGTCTCATTCTTGAAGAATCAGCCGTTTGAAAAAATTGTTTGAATGAATGATTCAATGACTCACTCATTAAGACGGTCGCCTGCCACCACCTACTGGTGGTTTAGTGTTATGTTTAAAAGTAGTATCGTTCTTTCCAACGTTTCTTATATGTAAATTTAAATCAATTTCATAACATTATTTTATGCAATTGTAATTTTTCAGTGTAAATGATTTCATTTGATCAGCCCCCAGGGTAACAGCCCTATAGGAGTGTCTTATTATTCGAAATAATTGAATTTATTGATCAAATTTAGGCATTTAAAATGAAAGATGAAGCAGACATTTAATAATATTGGGGGAGGGGATGCCCTTTAAAGGTGCAGATATTACTATATGGTGATTTAAATATCAAAGCTGATTGAACACTAAAGAGAAAATTGTTTCAGAATAAATTGACACAAAAAATAAAAATTAAAAATCCGAACGAGCAACTTTTTTACTAGGACAAGTGAATGACAGATTGTATTCATTTTATGCATGAAGCACATTTCTTTAATATATTATGTGTTATATTAAGTTTATAATTGGGATTTAGTTTCATTTTTATTATCCATTTTAAAACTGTGATTTATTTAAAAACAAATATATAAATATATTTATATGTAAATATATTTAGATTAAGTTTTATAATGATAATTCAGATTATGACATAAGTCTGCCTGTGAAAGGTTATGTAAAAATCAGACATAATCTACAGCCCTGGTTTATGCATGTACATAAATCTTGCTTTTAGGATAACATAGCTGTGTGAACAAAGTAATGAGTTTTATGACATTGTGGTTAGGTGCAAAAAGATGACATCAGACAATGACACATTTAAATATGACCTTTGAAATTTATTCATTATATAGCATTATATAATTTTAATGATTAGGCATTATACCTGTAACGTTCAATGGTGTAGAACTTGAATAACTTTTTAATGAAAAGAATATGTTGGTTTTTAATAACAGACTTTGACATGCATTAGATTAGATATGGTGACACCACGGATAACACGAGTGCGCTGTATTTGCCAAAGCATGAAACTCCATGGAGATAAATCTATTATAAATATATATTTTTTAATGAATATGGAATATCAATCTGGGCATACAAGAAACGTAATATTTTTTCACCAAATAAATGGAATACTTTCTGTCCAAAGTTCGAAAGGCATGTTTTCTTGTAGGATTAGGGTCCATTCAGGGTAACTGTTAAATATATATTGTGTTGGTGTTATTTTAGTATCTCTTAAAAAAATAAAATAAAGGTTCCACTGAACCTTTAAATTCCACTCAGTGGAAAAAACATTCTTGAATATATTTCATGAACTGTTTACTGAAGGTTCTTTGGGGAACAAAAAAAAGGTTCATCTCTGGCATCATGGTGAAAACCTCTGTTTGGATCATTTTAAAGGAGTAGTTCACTTTAAAAAAAACTTTTGTTGATAATTTACTCACCCCCATGTCATCCAAGATGTCCATGTCATTCTTTCTTCATTCGAAAAGAAATTAAGGTTTTTGATGAAAAATAATAATGGACTTCAATGGGAACCAAACGTTTCAAGGTCCAAAGGACAGTTTCAGTGTAAACTCCATACTGTTCAAAAGGGGCTTTAAACGATTCCAGATGATGAATAAGGGTCTTAAGCGAAACGATCGCTCATTTAAAAAAACAAAAAAACAAACAAAGTTTAAGTTTTATAAGCTCAAATGCTCACCTTGCTCTGTTCTGTGCGACTCTCCTGTTTGAACTCGTTCATCAAAATGAATGAATCTTTTTCCGAGTCAATTTGTTCATTTCATTCGTTGAATGAACCAAATGACATTTGAACCAAAACCAAATATTTTCAACCAAATGAAAAAAAGATTTGTTCATTTAGATGAACGAGTTCAAACAGGAGAGTCATACAGAGAAAGGCGAGCATTTGAGCTTATGAAACTTAAACTTTGTTATTTTTTTATTAAATGGCCGATCGTTTCGCTAGATAAGACCCTTATTCATCGTCTGGAATCGTTTAAAGTCCTTTGAAACTGCACTGTAACTCTCATTTGGACCTTGAACCGTTTGGTTCCCATTGAAGTCCATTATATGGAGACAATCCTGGATTGTTTTCATCAAAAACCTTAATTTCTTTTCGACTGAAGAAAGAAAGACATGGATATCTTGGATGACATGGGGGTGAGTAAATTATCAGCAAAAGTTTTTTTTAAAAGTGAACTACTTCTTTAAGGGTGTACAGTAAGTTGCCTACGTGACCTTGAAAACCGTGTCAATAGCTGACCTCAAAACACAGTGAAACCACTCTTCATTTTCACTAGCAAATTCACAGCCTTCATGAAATCCAATACAGTTTGCTTCTTGTCCACTAGCTTTTCCATGATGTCACAGCAGCATGTGAACCTGTACAAAACCACAACAATAGCCAGCATGCTCTAGAAAGCATTGATATATTATACATTATGTGACAACCTGGAACGATATCCGGAGGAGTAAACGTCACATTAGTGCTCTCCGTTCGGAAAAGTAACGTGAGGAACCTTGAAAGTCACACCTTGGCAGGACTGTAACACGAGCGGCATGTGAGGAAACATGAGCGGGCCGCGTGAACCGGATCCTCTCTGTTCGGTTCCACTGGTACACTCTGTCCCGGTAGAGTGGACCACCACACACCTTGTGCTTTGAACACGCCAGGTCAGATCCCGAGGGTCCCGTCAAACCCGGTTCTGCTAAACCTCCATGAAGGCATGTCAGACGTTGTCTCCTGGAGACCCCAGGAAAATAGCGAATGGAGTCAGTCAGCCACAGCCGTGAACAAGGTCTGGATCTCTTTGGTTGGAGGTAACATGAACTTTTGAATCTACATTGTTTATGTATTGAAAAATATATGAATGGAACAAAATGGTTTTCTTGGAGCTCAAAAAATCATTGTGTGAAAAATTTGCATGTGACATGAGAATGCATTGATTTCTTCAAGATAAAAGGGATTCATCTAAAAATGAAATTTCTTTCATGTTTTTTTTCATGGCCTATTCTTTTTTAATAAAGAAAAATATATAGCCTATATCATCTTATTTTTTAGATAGACTTTATTTATTATAAAGTTTGGATTTTATATTAATTATATTAATAAAAATAAACAGTTACAAATTAGAAATTTATACGTCATTTAAAAAAAATCTATTAATGTCTATATTCAATTAATTGCAATTAATTGATAATAAATTGGAAGTTCAATAATTTAATTTATTTAAATAATAGTTTATTTATTTATAATGTACTTCTTTATCAATGGGATTGTCGAGAGTAATTTTAAAGTTTGGATTTTATATATTTATATAAATGTGTTTATTTATATAGTATATTTTACACTGTTAAAAAAATATGATCAGTAAGTTATGACATATGTTTTAACATTGCTTTCCCTCATCAAAATGCAATTTTACAAATTTGTTTTTAAATTATACAAGATTGAACACTTTTTTTTGTTGTCAACTCTAATTTAAGTTGAGTTGATTTTTACAGTGTATATTAATATCATAAATGGGTTTTAATTTAATTTAACTATTACATTTTATTCAACTTGTTATTATTATTAATCAAATAATTATTGAAATTAAATAATTATTACAGTTTTAAAACTCTTACAATGAGAATCAGTGCATGGGGAGCAAAATTACATTGTTTGGACCCTATTGGCTCATTGTACGGACAAAATATCTTCTCTTGAGTTCCACTAAAACAAAGAAAGGCGGTTTGGAATGACATAAGGGTGAGTAAATGATGATACAATTATTATAATTATTATTTTTTTAGGTTGCAAGCAACCAACACCATCCACCTTTCAGGCTCAACTAAAATGCTAGAATAACAACAAAAAGAAGCACAAGCTAGTTTTTGAGCCAAGGGGCAATAAGTTCACTTTTGTTTGCAGATTATTCAAATCCCACGCACAATGCACCAAAACATCCTGGTTTGCTTTGTTTGCTGCCTAAGCACATGAAACAACACCGAAAGACCAGTCTGAGCTGTCATGAATGGACCCATATTACTAATCTCCTTCATGACGTCCATCTGCTCAAACTGAACTATTTAGGACCCGCGGCAGTGACCACGGTGTGGCCCGTTTACATGATCTCTCCAGCTGTTGTTGTGGATGACCCGAATAAACAGTCTGCTGTGGGCCAATGATATTTGAGCTCAGTGTCACAGATCGCCGGCTACTT